CTTTGTAACAAGCCACCCTGAAGGGGCTAATCCAGTCCCCAAAGAGATAGATGGCCTCCCAACAGGACAGCACTAATCCCTTCCTGAGGCCTCCCTCTGGGCCTCCCCACCACCCTTGGGGGGCAGGCTCCAACCGTATCAAATTCCAGATAGCTCTCTCACCAGGGTCCTGGCAGAGACTGCTCCTGTAGCCCTTCCTCCTCTGAGCTCACACCAGGTTCTGTCTCTGTGGGTGTGTGTGTGAGTCCATGTACACTCTTGGCTCAGAGCCTCTGGGCCCTTTGGCTCCTGGTGTCAGGGAGTGGATTATACCATGACACAATCACTTGAAACTCTTGGCTAACATAGTTTCCATATGCAATGGTTAGACTGTCAATGCCTTAATGTCACTTTGGGAAGCCCTGTTAGTGTTCCAATTCTCAGTTCACTGCATCAGACTGCTTTAGGAAGTCACCAGGAGGTGCTCCCCGGGGTGTGTTCCTGACCCTGACCATGGCTGGACAGCTCTGTCCGCCTTGAGGCCATGGTTCTAGTCCTCCCCACACCTCTGCTCCCCTACCGACCGCCATTCCAACAGTTCCATTTCACCGTCTGTTTTATTTCAACATCCCCTACTGCTGTCATCGGGAAGCAAGCTCTCCTGGGGAACTCCTGGCTGCAGGGCCAACCCCTGGCTCCCAGCAAGGCTCACCATGTGGTGGGGCTGACAGGCTGGTTTTCCACGCTCTGTTTACACAAAGCCCCATCAGGCCAATCTACTATGGCAGCAATTATGACCTAAAATATATTCCCCTCCAAGGTCTCTAGAGAACAGCAACCTTTCTTCTCACAAAGGCCCGAGAGGAAAGCAAATGGCTTGAGCCTGAAGCAAGATCACAAAGATGGCTTTGTCTCAGACTTGCTGTACCCAAGCCAGTTTTTTCACTTGTTCCAACGCCTGGTTACCTTGATGGGGAAGGGGAAAAAAAAGGCCAATTAGTAAAAATGAGCATTGAGTGAATGCTCCTCCCTGCCAGGTCCCTAGGCTAGGCACTTTGCAAGAATTGTGAGATGTGTTCTCTGGGAAGCCCTGGGAGGAAGGTACCAGGTCCCTTAGTGCTTGAGTGGCAGCTCTGAGATTCACCCTGGGCAGTGTAGCCTTCCTGAGTCCATGTTGAACCCTGTGCCTGGCTAGTCCCAGCAGTATTTTGCTCCCACCTGGGAGGGGTGGCGGAGGGGAGTGAGTGAGCTCATGTCTAGGAAATGCTTGGCTGGTCTGGCACAAACACACATCTAGCAATGACAGCTGCCGTTCTGAGGACGGGGTTCAGTCATGCCTGAGGGCTGTGAGAGGTTGTGCAGAACAGGCTCAGGGAGCATACAAGGGGGTGACTCTGGGTGGGTACACAAGCAGGCTTCCTCAGTAGAAAAAAGGCCTGGGCTATGTGCTTATACCTCCCAGTGAGCCAGATGTGATAGCCATGCACAGGTCCTGAGTTAATATACAGAGGAGCAGGCTCAGACTCTGTCCTCAGACCCTTAGGTCATCACTCTTTGCCTTGCTTTTGCAAAGACACAGTCAGAGATTCCAACTCCCACTTAATCTGCACTTGCCTTTCCCTCTTGCTTTGCTGATTTGCTGTGGTTTGGATATTAGTTTGCATGTTGAGGGTCCCAAACAGGCCCGAACATTAAGGGCTTGATCTCCAGGGTGATGCTTTGGGGAGGTCTTGGCATGTTCGGGGTTGGGGGTGATAGAAGGTCCTTAGGCCATTGGGGGTGTGCTGTCAGGAGGGTTGGTTGTAGAGACCCAAGCTCAGGTCCAGCTACTGTAATTTCTGGCCTATCTTTAGGTCTCCCTGTAGTCTAGCATTGCTCCCCACTGAGCCCCATCTGAAGCCAGATTAATAGGGTCAGTGAACTTTGAACTTGAGCCTCCAACAATGTGCTTAATAAACTTTTTCTGTTGATAAAGTTAGTTGTCTCAGATATTTAATTGTAGCATGACATTCTTAGTTGTTTCCTGTGCCAGTGTGTTTCCTGTTAGAAGCAAAGTTATATAAATTATTCTACAAGGGTTGGGAGTAGGTTTGGGACACAAGGCCAGTAACGCCATTTTTGTGTTTAGGTATTCTAGCAGGTCTTTTGGGCCTGTAGATGTCACAGCTTTTCTGGTTTCTTGTCTAACCATGTTTCCTTGGTCAGCTGTGACCTCAGAATACATCAGCTCCTGCTCAAGGTCCCTGTGAGGCCATTCAGGTAGGTCTGGCATTCAGATGGAATACTGTGGATTACCATGCCAGACTTGTATACAGAAAGAGGGCATGTGCTGTACTTTGGAAATTGAGTGAGGAGGATTCTTGCAACTGTCAGACTAGAGCTAAAGGACATATGTGCTCAGATCATATTGTTGCAGGATTTTTGACTCCGAGTATGGCAGCAACCTCAAATTCTTGTCTCGCAGGAAAGAAGAATTTTCATGTGGACACAGTTTAGTTTCAACGCAAGATTTATTAGAAAAGCTGAGAAGACTCCCATCCTAGTGACAGGAGGGGGTTTTGAGATAGAAAGGACCCTTACCCCCTGCCACAGTGGCAGGAAGAGTAAATAGAAGACCCTAGTCCTCTGCCATAGTGGCAGGAGGAAAAGGACCCTAGTGCTCTGCCATAGTGGCAGGAGGAGAAGAACCCAAAACCCTAGTGCTCTGCCATAGTGGCAGGAGGACAAGAAGCCAAAACCCGTATTAATGGTGGGGAATGCACCTTTTAAAGGTTTCCCTCAAAGATGTTTCTCCATGAACAAAGAAAATTCCTAGTTTCCATGGTACCTGGCCTTGGGACAAAAGGCCACAGAGATGCCAGACATAGGACATTCCAGGCCTTGGGCAGATGTATATTACTTCTTCCTGCTCTCTTTTCAATGATAAAGAGATCGGCCTGAGGCCCTCCCACAGTGGCCGGAGGTAATGGCCGATAGTTCTGGTGGGGAATTGATATGCTAATAGCACCCCTGTCCCTGGGAGAGACGTGCTCTGGTGAGTTCAAGACATGGTGGGGAAATTCTCTTTTACTCAGGGACCCAGAATACCCTAACTGCCTACTACCCACTCTAACTCCTCTCTCAATGTCAAGCCTGTGTGGCCTCAGACTATACCTGTGCACCTGCTGGGGGTGGGGCACTGTGTGGTCATGACCTTCAATTCCAGGCCTGTGGTTTCATATTTTGATAATGACACCACCCATGATTACTGTGGGAACATGTTCAAGCTGTATGATTTAGTGCTTCCATTGCTACTTACATTCTAAGGCATTCTGATCATGAATTTGAATTTGAGCCTCTTTCCAAATTGTTCTTGAATGCAGTGTGTGGTTATAGGCAGCTGTGGTTTATGTATGGTTTCACTCTGTCCCTCAAGGGTTCACATGCTGGAAGAGTTCAACATCCCCACTGCAGCAATACTGAGCAGGTGGGACCTTTAAGAGGTGGATTAATGTTGTCTCATGTAGTGAGTGAGTTTTCCCAGGGCCGCACTGTGGCCCCTACCCTCAACAGGAACTCAGGTACACACTGAAGTGACAGTGACTCCATGCCTTCTAGGAACACAAACCCATCAGCTTTCTTCTGGTGACTGGGTTTCCAAAGTGCAGAGCCTGTGGCCTTTCACTACCCTCAAGCCTGAAGGAATATTCACAAGGTGCTTCAGTGCTGCGCAGAGCTGAGTGATTGGGTGTAAAAGTGCCAACCTCGCCCCTCAGGCCCTGCCAGGCTGCCTGTCTCCCTGCCTGTGCTGTCTTCCTATTGCAGGTGCCCCCTCCATAGTGCCAGCCACCATGCTGGGATGTAGCCAAGGGGGCCGTCACGGGTGGAGGACTTTCAGTGTCCAAAACTGTGATCAAAGTAACCCTCTTTATAAAGAGCCCAGCCTCACACACTTGTAATGGCACCAGACCCTTTGTTTTTTGAACTTAGCAAGAAACAGTCATTTTTGTTACACAAACTAGGTAAAATCAGTAATAGAGTGATTACTATGCACAAAGCACAGTGGCCCTCCTTAGGCCACTTTTCTCCTGGAAATGGTGGCAAAGATGAGAGCATCCTGTTACAGAAATGTCAAGTGTCAAGACCAAGAGGTGACATTTGTCCAGAATCTGGAGGTTGGGAGGGGCAGTCTGAAATGCAGATACGTGTGTTGCATGTACATCTTCATCTGTTTTCTATTACTTTAGTAAAATGCCCAAGCAGGGTAACTACTAAAGAACAGAAGTTGGCTTGACTCACAGTATAGGAGTCAGGAAAGCCAGCAGCGGGCCTCAGTGTCTGGTGAGGGCCTTGTCGCTGCATCCTGGCAGTGCAGAGGATGCTCTGTGCCGAGGCAGAAGGAGTGGAGACCAAGGAAGGATGCCATTGGGAGCCTCGCACCGTCTTCTTAGGGAACCACTAGCACCATCGCAGGGGTCTCACTGTCACCCTGAACAGTCTTGGACATGACACAGCACCTGGGAGAGGAGCACTGAGCACAAGTGACTGTGGAATTAGAGCTTCCCAGAGGGACACCCCTGTTGAGCTCTGAGAAACAATACACTGGGAGACTTCTGAACAAAGTTCATGAGAGATCAAATTAAAAGATTTGTATTTTGTTGCAAACAACTCTTGCAATCCATGCATACTTGGGGTCTTCATGGAATGCATATTATAAAAAGCTAGGTATGGATTTGAAATGTTTTTTTCTTTGCACCCAAACAGACGTATCTTTTTAATCTCTCTTCCAAAAACTTCTTGAAATACCCTCATTTTCTTGAGACCAGACACCTCTTGGTATGACTGCTATAAGGTTAATTTTCACATTGTACTCTCTGCTTCTTCCAACATACATTTGGAGGGAAAAAAAATGCTTAAAGGAGAAAGAAAAAAGTTAGGAAATCAGATAGATTATTGAAGTATTCCTTCAGTCAAAAGTGATGCCGTGGTGCTGTGTTGTTTTGAATCTGCTAAGTGCCTGTCCTATTTGTTCTTTCTTTCAGAATGTTAGAAGATGACCTGAAGCTAAGCAGTGATGAAGAGGAGAATGAGCAGGTAAATTGCCTTTCACATGGCCAGGCCTTGGATGCCTTCAGAGGCATTAATGTTGTCTCATGTAGTGAGTGACTTTTCCCATGGCTTATGGGATGGGTGTTACAGACTCTGAATTGAGCAGCACGAGGAGGTTGGTTTTCCTCTGCTGATAATGAACTTGTGTAGTGGGGCCAGTCTGTCCAAATAGCCTGGCCTTCATTTTCCCTGACACTTTAATGCTTTCATTTGTATGGGATGGAGACCAACAATGGGTGTTTACAAGGAATTAACCAGGCTAGGGCCTGATTGAGTATTGAGCCTTTTTGTTTTTTCCTCCTCAAAGCTATTTGGCCTTCAGATACTCACACCTGGGATTTTAATCTCATCAGCATGCAACAGGCAAATAGTAACATTAAATATTGAGAAGTCTTATACAGGTATTATTAACATCTAGAAGGAGCAAACATGGGGTGAGTTAAAAGGATGAAAAAAAATCATACTCCATCTAGGCTGTTTGTCTTAAATGATAAATGTACACGAACTATTCTCCCTTGGTGTTGATTTATCAGCTCAAGACATCAGTCAAAGGGTTATAAATACTCTTCTGCTCAGCCAGTTACGTTGAAAAAACATCCACTCAACGTTCATCAATTTCCTTTCTGCATCTCAGAAAATGTTTGTATTTTAAAGCAAGTTTGAAAACATGAAAAGATGGATTTTCCCCACACTTCTCTTCCCTATTTGTCATCACCTGTGCTGTGTTTTGTCAATTGTGGGTTCCAGTGATGGTAGACAGTTCCAAGAGGCCTTTTTTTTTAAGATTTATTTATTTTTCATTACAAAGTCAGATATACAGAGAGGAGGAGAGGCAGAGAGGAAGATCTTCCATCTGATGATTCACTCCCCAAGTGACCGCAACGGCCCGGTGCTGTGCCGACCCAAAGCCAGGAACCGGAAACTTCTTCCAGGTCTCCCACACAGGTGCAGGGTCCCAAAGCCTCGGGCCGTCCTCGACTGCTTTCCCAGGCCACAAGCAAGGAGCTGGATGGGAAGTGGAGCTGCCAGGATTAGAACCGGCACCCATATGGGATCCTGGTGCGTTCAAAGAGAGGATGTTAGCCGCTAGGCTACCATGCCGGGCCTGAGGCCTTTTTTTTTTTTAACAAGTCAGTTTACACATAATGCATATGAAGCCATTGGGTTGATTTGGGGGATAGTGAGTTTAAAGCAGTGGTATCAGGAAATGCTACGTAGGTGGTTTGTTGTGTGGACCTGCAAGTAGCATGCTATGAGCTGTGAGACACAAGTCCGAGAAGGATCTCTAGGAACGTGAATGAAGCATGGCCGTGAGCTCATGGAAGAGGTTGATGGCTGTGTGCGAGATGCCGGAGCATCAGATCTGGGAGTCCAGAAGCCAGAATTGCATGTGGAGCACACCCCAGTAAAGGAAGAGGGGTACCATGTTATGGAGATGGATAGATTTGTTTCTAAGCATACACGCCCAGCAGTCAGATGCCCACCACCACAGCCAATCTCTATAGGACATAGCACAGCCTCACTCCTAAATTTGATTCTACATCTATAAGGGGGATTCAAAAGCTTATGGCAAATGCGCATTAAAAAAAAAAAGCTAGGCATGAATTTCTAAAAAAAAGTTTCTGCTTAAAAACAAAAAAACACCTGTTTACTTCATTTTACCATGAAATATTTCAAGGACTTTTTAAAATTTATCTAACAGCAAATGAGTTCATGTTTTCCCCCCTGAGAGTCTCAAGCTTTTATTATAAACTAAGTTGTATCTAATGTGTAAGTTAGGAAAAGAGTCTGACCAATTCATCTAGCAAGGTTTTTTTTTTTAATTTAGAAACTGTCTCCTGTGCTAATTCCAGCAAAAAAAAAAAAAAATACACACACAAACATACAATGAAAGCTCATTATCAGTATTGTCCAATACACATTATTTAAAGATTTATTTATTTCCATTGAGAAGTCAGATATACAGAGAGGAAGAGAGACAGAAAGGAAGATCTTGCATCTATTGATTCACTCCCCCAAATGGCCTGCAACAGAGCCAGGAGCTTCTTCTGGGTCTCCCACACAGGTGCAGGGTCCCAAGGCTTTGGACCACCCTCTGCTGCTTTCCCAGGCCACAAGCAGGGAGCTGGATGGGAAGTAGGGCAGCCAGGATTAGAACCGGCGCCCATATGGGAACCTGGCACATGCAAGATGAGGACTTTAGCTGCTAGGCTCCCTCACCGGGCCGTGACTGGCACACTTCTAAAGGCAGTTAAGAATGTATAGTTAACTTGTTATGCTTTATCAGCTGCTGCTTTCCAAGTGATAATATCATATTGGGAATATACAAGTCAGTTCAGTTATTTCTGTGTTTGATCCCTCTGTGTGTGCACACCTTCCTCTTTTTTATATGAGTGATTTTTGTGCAGTAATCTCTTGTCTTGTAATTTAAGATAAACATTTTTGCAACACTAATTGTATGAGGTAGTCCTGCCATGGCCTGTAATTCTTCCCTGATGTAATCAGAAAGCCATAATTCCCTTTACTTTCCTAGAAGATTGGTGGTAAAAAAAATTTTTCCCCAAGATCAGAATATGGCTTTTCACAGCAAGAGTGTAGAATCCATGCAAATACACCACACACAAGCACACAGTTCATTTCTCTGGCATTGTGAAATGAGTAAAGGTAATATTACAACGATTTTTACAGATATAATCAGATTCTGTGCCTTAACCCAAAACTCCGTTTACATCTTCTGACCCAATGAATACAGCACACTAAGATGCTTAACCTCCTCTGACATCATGCCTGCTTGCCTTATGAACATGAGTTCAAATGGCTTGGGTGACAATTGTTATAGAAAGATACGTGCAGGAGCTGGCTGTCCGAGACCTCTTTGTCCTCAGCCCCAGGCATTTGAATCCTCCCCACCTGATGTTTTTTTCTCCCCATTGCTTTATGCTCTTCAGGACACAGGCACAGGTCTAGCTTCATGATGAAGAGCTCTACAGCCCTCTCCCAGGGTTCTAGTTCAGCCTGCCAACTGCTCTCTCTCTCTCTGTCAATGACTGCATTGTAAAACCAGGATTAATGCTACATTCCCAAGCTTGCTATGTGTTAGAACTGGAGGTCACCTGTTAGTCTCGTGTCAGAAAATCCAGTAGGCTTTTTTGTTATTTAAAAAAATACTGCATTTAAAAAAATAATTTATTTTAATTCAAAATATAGGTTATACAGAGAGGGAAAGAGACAGAGAGAAAGATCTTCCATCTGATGATTCACTCCTCTAGTAGCCACAATGGCCAGAGCTGAGCCAATCCAAAGCCAGGAGCCCAGAGCCTCTTCTGGGTCTCCCACACAGGTGCAGGGTCCCAGGGCTTTGGGCCGTCCTCGACTGCTTTCCCACGCCATAGGCAGGGAGCTGGATGGGAAGCAGGGCCACCAGGATTAGAACCAGCACCCGTATGGGATCCTGGCACATGCAAGGTGAGGACTTTGGCTGCTAGACTACCATGCCAGGCCCCAAATATTGCATTTTTAAATGAGAAAAAATATAATGTCAACATATAATTGACTAAGTGTGCATATAGTAAGTATAAATGTACAACTCATTGCCTGTTCATAAACAGTAGACACACCCACATCAGCAGTAGCCAGACCAAGGGACAGACATGACCGTCCTCCCTGAGGACCACCACTCCCTACCAGTCAGCACCTTCCAGAAGAATGGCCAACTTCCTGGTTTTGTGACTCCATAAAGCGACCCTGCTTGATTTTGAGCTTTCTCTCAATGGATTCGAGTGGCGTGGACTCATTCATGTCTGGTGTCTACATGGTCAAAGTTTGTCCATCTTTGTTGGTATGCCTTCTTCTGTTCTGTACACATTTAGTGTCAGTTACATACCCATGCCACACTGATGGGCACATGGGTATTTGAAGCTGCCAGTATGGGGCTTCTTTTAGCATCCTTGTCTGGATTTTTTTTTTTTTTGAGCTACGGAAACATTTCTACTGTCGGGCCACAGGGCATGTGTGTGTTTAACCATGGTATATTGTCTCAACTCATTTTCCAAAATGGTGTGGCAGTTGGCACCACCTCTAGCAGTGTGAAAGAATTTTACTTCCCTTCACATCCTCACTGCACTTTTGTCTTTTTTGTTTGTAAGGATAACCCTCTCCATTGTTCTGTTTCTTTCTAGTTTTTGTCAGAGTAATACTCTCATAAATTGAATTGGAATGTGCTTTTTACTCTCTTTTTTTCCTTGACATTGTGTAAAAACTGGTGTCAGTTTTTCTGTGGTAAAATTCTGAAGTAAAACCCATCAGAGTCTAGAGAGTTTTAAAACTCAACTGTTTTTCTGATAGTTGTAGGGGCTGTGAGACAGTTTCATAATGGAGAAGTTATGACAGTATTCACTCTTCCAGTAATTAGTCTAACTGTGTCATTTAAGTCATCGTGTTCCTGTGTTAGTCACAGTATCTCTTTCCTTTCTCTGTGATGACTGTGGAATCTACGGTGACAGCCCTGTTTCACACTGACATTAATCATATCTCTTAGTTTTTCCTTTAGCCAGTCTTGCTAGAGGCTTATTGATTGTATTGATCTCTTCCAAGAGTTGGCTTTTTATTTCACTGTTTTTCTCTATTTAGTTTTTTTGGTTTTGTTTTCAGCTTTATTGATTTCTTATTATTTTTTTTTTATTATTTCATTGCTTCCACTTGTTCTAGGTACATTTCTGTCCATTTTCAAGCTTCTCAAGGTAGCTTAGATTATTTATTTGAGACTCGTCCTGTTTTTATAACATAGACATTTGGTATATATGAGGGGTCTTTAAAAATCTCATAGAAAATGAGTGTTACGAAAAAAATTATGTGTGGATTTCAGTTTTTCCACAATAAAAATGTTTTTGAATTTCATTTTCCATGGCCTTTTTGTGGTCCTCTCAAACATTTAATTTTCTAAAACATTGCTGCTTTATCCTACGAATTTTGGCATGTTGTATTTT